TTTTTTTTTTTGGGGGTGGGGGGTTCATGCATGCACAAACCCCCATTAGTCTACAGGGTTACCAAGAGTTCCATGATAACCCAATCCAAAATCAGTTTAGCATTGCAATACAGTGACCCATAACATGAATAAGAATTTCACCAGATGCAGAGTATCTTCAACAATGAAGAGATTTACCAAGACCAGTTCATACATACAAGAGATACTGACCTGCAATAATATTCAGGATTTGTCTCCTCTCTTATATCAAGGGGAAGACATGCATCAAGTACCATCCGAATCTCTGAGGACCCTCTCTTGATTAATATAATATTCCGCGCATGTGGCATACATACGAACACGTCCATGTCCATGTCCATCAAATCCCATAACTTTAGTAAACTCCCTCTCTCTATAATCCTCGTCTTGTTCATGTTCCTCCCTTTCTTCTAAGTACTGATTGAAATACTACAAATGTTAATTATCGTTAATATATTCGGAATAAGGTACTGCATACCTTGCGGAAGATTCCAAGTGAAAAACCGCTTGCAATTAAACAAATATCCTTTTAAGACATAAACATGCTATGCCTTGTTCATGGTAAACATAAAAAATTGTTTTCAAAGACCGCACCATGGGTTTACCAGCTAAGCAGACAATATGTGTACAACAGTTCAAAAACCACAACAAAAAACAAGACCCAAAAGGAATTTGAAGTAGGGAGGGTCCTAGAAAAAAGGCAAAAATAGCACAAGATACTGTCTGAATGAAGAAAAAAAAAATTCAGAATCAGAAGCAGTAGAGTTGAAATGCAACATAGCAATACAAGGTTCTCCACTCAAAAGGAGCTAGATTCTGAGCACAGACAAGTTGATGATCAAACCAAGAAGTGAAATTACAAATCATGGAACACCAGATTTTTTTTTTTGGGGGAGTTGGGTGGGGGGGCGCACGTTGGGTGGGGGGGCGCACAAACCCCCATTAGTCTACAGGGTTACCAGGAGTTTCATGATAACCCAATCCAAAATCACTTCGGCATTGCAATACAGTGACCCATAACATGAATAAGTAACAATGAAGAGATTTACCAAGACCAGTTCATACATACAAGAGATACTGACCTGCAATAATATTCAGGATTTGTCTCCTCTCTTATATCAAGGGGAAGACATGCATCAAGTACCATCCGAATCTCTGAGGACCCTCTCTTGATTAATATAATATTCCGCGCATGTGGCATACATACGAACACGTCCATGTCCATGTCCATCAAATCCCATAACTTTAGTAAACTCCCTCTCTCTATAATCCTCGTCTTGTTCATGTTCCTCCCTTTCTTCTAAGTACTGATTGAAATACTACAAATGTTAATTATCGTTAATATATTCGGAATAAGGTACTGCATACCTTGCGGAAGATTCCAAGTGAAAAACCGCTTGCAATTACTAGCCCACCGTGATGCTTCCACGTCACGAACACGCCAACAAGATTCTACACGTTCTTCGTCTCCAAGGTCGTTGGATTGGCTATGAAAGTTACTCCATTGATTCCACGTACCCAAGACCAAGGCTCTTGGTGAATTGCCTAAAGGAGAGTGTTTAGGGAGATATGAGGTTTCTCTCTTTGTGGGTGTAAAACTTACTACAACTCTTTGATATGCACTCACACTTCTTGATCACACACACCAACTTAGAGAGTATGCACTAATGCTTCTCATCCCCTCTTCACTTGCACACACTCCATCTATTTATAGGAGTTGTTTTAGCTCATCTCAAGAGAGCATAAAACATGCACTAGTGCTTAGTTTGGTAGTGCACTAAAACAAGGATTAGTGCCTTAATCATTGTTTTATTACATCTCCCACTCACCCACATAGGGTGTGATGACCTTGTTTTATTACAACAAAAATTAAGCTTCATCAGATTACAACAACAAATTAAAAGACAATTCAAATAACAGACATCAGTACAAACAGATATTAAATAATAAATTTAGCACAAGAATCACCTTGAATAGCAATGCTCTATGCCTACACACAACAAACTGCAAGGTTCCAATGGGAATTACGATGGACTTTCGTCGTGCTTTAAGAGAACGGAGAGATTTCTAACAGAGATCAGAAAACCTAATATCTTCAACAGTCTTCGCAACTGGTTTAGTAGACAAACTAATATAGTCCATGTTTCCTGTTGGGCAAGTGCAAACAAAGGGCTTCCTGTAGTTTGAAAGAGGATTAGCTTTACGTTCCCCCAAAAGTGATCTGATACAAAAAGAGCAAGAAACGATGCAATCTGTAGCTCATCAGCTTGATTTCCATCTGAATATAAACGATACACCGATTCTTGGGCAGAACGTAAAATTGCATCCTACTCTGTATCCCATTCCTTATCCACAAGAAGAACTTCGCGTGAGTCAAGATGGAAATTTTGCTCATAAACCTCTAATGGCATAAACGGCCTGTCACGTCCTGCATCATAAAAGCCTTCTGAAATATCGTCCTCAGTACTGCAAAATGAAAGTTCACTATACTTGCGAGATAAATTTGAACTATCAGCAGCCCTAGATCTTGGATACTTGAGCTGTCTCGGATTATCATGATGCCCATCAAAGGGCCTCTTGTGCTGAGTTGTGCTTTTTGATATTTCTGACGATGCACCTTCATCTTGCTTAGCAGAAACCTCTTGACTATTCCTCGGCTATACTATTCCTTTAAAAAAAAACAAAACCCGAGTATAGCCGTCCGGCTAGACTATTTATAAATTTAAAAAAATTGGGAAAAACCGAGTATCGCCGACCGGCTATGCTATTCCTATAAAAAATAAAAAATAAAAATACAGTATTAGCCGGGCGGCTATACTATTTATAAATTGTAAAAATAGGGGAAAAAAAACAGAGTCTCGCCGCCCGGCTATACTATAAATTTTAAAAAATTAGGGAAAAACCGAGTATAGCCGCCGGGTATACTATTTATAAATTTTTATAAAGGGAAAAAGTGTATAGCCGCACGGCTATACGATTCCTTAAAAAAAAATTTACAGCCGAGTACAGCCGTGCGGCTGTACCATTTATAAATTAAAAAAATAAGAGAAAACCGAGTATAGCCGGCCGGCGATACTATAAATTTAAAACATTTGGAAAAACCCGAGTATAGCCGCTCGGCTATACGATTCCTTTAAAAAAATATATAATTAATTTGTATTTTTGTTGATATTATTTTTATTCAATAATATATGAGAATTATGTGTATAATACATGAAATTTGTGTGTAAAAATTTTATAAAAAATATGTACGTACATGTAAAATACGAGTATTGTACATTTGCTTTATAAAAAAAGTGAATTTTATCGAATCTTTAAGACGTATATAGAATACGAATGTATTATTAAAAAATACATACATATGTGTATAATACAGTATTAAACGTGAAAGTGCTAAATTCTTTACACTGGTAACAACGTGTCTAAAAATTACTATAATATTTATAACTCCTTAAACTAGGGAGTATGATTTGAGTTCAAATTTTATAGAGAGCTCCTAAAATAATTTTTGTGTGTTTTTAGCTAAAGTTTAACTAAAAAATAGGGAACATGATTGTTGATGCTTTTAGGTGGCCACGTGTCAAAAACACTATAGCCGAATGGCTATACTATTTTTTTTATTTTTAAAATTACTCTTTAAATACATTATATTAAGAAGGTATAGTTATATTCAAATACCTTAGAATAATTCTTATATGCCATCTTACTTCTGGTACTGCATGCTTCTTTAACCAGCAGTTCACTAAACCAGGGCATTTCAAAGTTTCAACATATTTGAAAACCAAGAACCAAGTAATATAAATATTTAATAATTTGTTACACAAAAGAAGTATCTGAAATACTATGCAAGGCCCCTACTGTTGTTAAATTAGACAACAACATGAAGAACCAAGCAGCTCAAACCCGATTGTATCCAACTGATTTGCCAAAAAGCTTGCGAATGTATACGACTTGCAAAGCACTCGCAGCAGCCAGCGCTATATACTCTCCCACTGTATACATCACAACACGCCTCCTTGTGCTCTCATTTGCTGCGGCAGAAAACAAAAAACCATGTCCTAAGAATCATAAGATGTGTTGCTTGCCAGGTTCTAAATAGAGATACATCTACCAAATTATTTTGCCAGGTTCTAAGAATCATAACCCTAAACCCTTTTATCACTTTCTCAATTAGTTGCCTAAAATATTCTGTTGAAAATTTTAATATGATGAAGTAAGACTTGAAATCTTTTAACTAACAAACAGGTTTGACCATACTGAGCACAAATTCTTCAGTGCTGAATATTCAGCACATATTTATTCAGAACTTAATAGTTGGAAGATAAATTTTCATTTCTATCAGACAACACTTAAGAATGATAAAAATTACCCAGAAGATACCATAAACACACACACACACACACATATACATATATGGTAATGATGACACTAAAGATCCCATTAATAAATAAGGCATAGATCTAATTGCCAGCAGGATACACTGATATAGCATGACTTCATCATTGTCAATTTTCTTGGTAAGAGGGAAAAATAACTTACTATGACGATGCCGAACATCACGTGCTTTCAAGTACTTCTGCTCTAATGTAACTGACTCCAATGCCTCTCTAAGCTCAGCAATTTTAACATTTATAGGGTCTAGATGTTCTGCAAGAAATCAAAGATAAACAGAGATATTATTGAAAAATCAGTCTCAAACATGTCACTGGGACTGTCACAATTCAACAAGCAATTTATAGTACTTGTCACTATAGTCCCAAGAAGCAATTTATAGTCCAAGGCAAAAACTTTTGTTTTATTTTTGCCGTTACTTTGGAATACCAGTTCTAAGATTGAAATAAAAGAACAAAATGAAAACAAAATTGAAACAGAGTTTCACAAACCATCTTTGGCAATATTGTGCTCGTTGGGAATATGGCCAACATGTATGTTAAAAGAGACAGTCTCTGGTGTTGAGTAAGGATTGTGAAAACAAAATTTGTACATTCCGCTTCTTGGGGCCTTAAATTCAAACTTATCTCCAGATGTTCCCTTTGAAGTGTGCACCGTGTTACCCCCAGGAGATGTCACCTGCAAAAAAAAAATTACAACAATATACATTTTTCAATTAAATAAAGTCTATTTGAAAGAAAACGCACCTACGGACACAGCCTACGTAAAAAAAAAACGAAAATCTAGTATACTATAACAAAAGTCATAGATGTTTAAAAAGATATCTAGAAGAGAAACAACAGATACAGAATCCTTCTTAGTTCAACTACAGAAAGATAGTTCAAAGCCTGCAAATACTTTTCCATTCCTCTCAAGACACAAACTTTAAGAAACACATAGGGAATCTTCCTTCCAAATATCACTCATATGTCTACTATTTAAACTCCCATCTAGCCAGATATAACATTTGCTACGCTCTTAGGCAACACCTAACCAACACCAAGCAATGAGAAAACAGAAGTCCATAATTCCCAAGTTACATAAGCATGTGATGAGCTGACTCTTCTGAGTTCTTAAACCAAGAGAACCTGACCCATTTTGTTGGGGATAGAAAAACCACCTACACTTCCCAAGGAAAAATGGGCTGATATAAATAAACCCAACAGTGCAACATAATAAGATCCGAATCATTTGCAGCAGAAGACTAATAATTGTTATAACTAGGTAAATGGTATTTTCATATAGCACAACAAGTTGGCTCCTAATGACACTGTTATCTAGTTTACAAGGACTACACACATTCGGTAAGGCTAATCTCGCTATAGTTCAAAGTCCTTCACTCAATATCTAAGTTTTAAAACTTAAAAAAGGAATCACCTCAACTATATCTCTGCTGTTATAAAGGCCCTATCTTGCTTTATTGTTAAACAATAAAATTTAAAAAATTTGCAACTTCCCAATTCAGTGGAACATGAGTTTGAATTTGAAGACACAATTGAAACTGAATTTTAACTTTATGAATTTATCACAGAAAATTTGAAAGTTATAGCAATCTAGGGGGTTAGTTATGCAAATTGCTCCAATCCCTTCACCGGGTTCTCATCAGTTCCTACATACTTGAACTATTCCTACTTCCTTAATGCTGCTACAAAGACTTCAAAAAGACAAACTTTGGAAGTTGGCTCCTAATGACACTGTTATCTAGTTTACAAGGACTACACACATTCGGTAAGGCTAATCTCGCTATAGTTCAAAGTCCTTTACTCAATATCTAAGTTTTAAAACTTAAAAAAGGAATCACCTCAACTATATCTCTGCTGTTATAAAGGCCCTATCTTGCTTTATTGTTAAACAATAAAATTTAAATAATTTGCAACTTCCCAATTCAGTGGAACATGAGTTTGAATTTGAAGACACAATTGAAACTGAATTTTAACTTTATGAATTTATCACAGAAAATTTGAAAGTTATAGCAATCTAGGGGGTTAGTTATGCAAATTGCTCCAATCCCTTCACCGGGTTCTCATCAGTTCCTACATACTTGAACTATTCCTACTTCCTTAATGCTGCTACAAAGACTTCAAAAAGACAAACTTTGCTCAGTATTCATGTCAACGAGTAATTCCGATTTGGGAATTAAAACCAATAAACTCTGAAAATCAAACAATCCTCACAATTGGTTTGGACTTACAAGTATTAAGATTACAGCTTTAGTTACCCGTTAAGTTCCGAAAGGCAAAACCCTCAAATAATTCTAACAAATTTATATATAAAACAATTCAAAACCTCAATTAATCTACAAACAGATCTATTCCACACCCGCAAAACCCCCACAAATTAGTCCCCCATAAAAACCCTAAAATGCCAATTTGGCTCAAACCTCTATGCAATTGCGTTTTGGGAAAAGAGGAACTCACGATTAAATCGAGGCCGGGATGATCGCTGCCCCAGAAAATATCGTGATCGACCACCACGAAGTTCCCCGAAACGGTGTCGTCTTCGTAGAGCACGTACTCGTATACGCATTCGATGTCGTTTACTGTCACCGAAAGAGATGCGATTTTCCCGACGAAGCTCACAAGAAGAAGACCCATTAACATCAAAGCCTTTCTGCTCCACTCTTTCTGCCTCCCCTCCATTTTTCTTCAATTTTTGTTTTTGTTTTTTTTGTTTTCGGGTCTGAGAGTTTCAAACTCTAATCAAGCTTGAAGAAGAGGAAGCTCGGTGGCCTTTGTGTGAGTCTCAAACAATTCAATGGCGTTTCTGGTTTTGCTGTTGCCGTGAAAACACAGACTGAAACGTGTCGTTTAACCATACGTCCTTTACACGTCGCTCAGGCCACGTAACCAACCGAGTCAACTTAGTCGTATTGGGGCCATTGGGCCTAAGATTTTTGTGGGCTTGGCCTTAGGCTGTAACTTTTGGGCAGTCAACCACACAAGTTGTAGAAGCCCACCACCTCTTGTGTCTAGTATTTTTGGGTAATTGGAATGCCCTCGGGGCAGAAAAATACAACTAACTAGTCATCCCTAATAAATAATAAGGAACATGGGCTGATTTGTCTTTTATTTTTATTTTTATGCAAGCGATATTAAGTAAGGTGGGTTCTAAATTTTCTAAGGCCTAGGATGAAATTTTATTTTTGTACAAGCGATACTAAGTAAGGTTGGTTCTGAATTTTCTAAGGCCTAAGATGAAAGTCTAAATTGTGCCCGTCTACGTACACATTAATTATTAAAAGTATAATTCTTTTTTTATCAGCTATTTAAATTGATTAAAAAAATGATAAGAGTTTACAAAGAACACTAGTTAAATAGCTTTCATCACATTGTTCTTTTTATAAGACCCAATTTTGATTTATGTATAAGATTATTCATAATAATTTCCTATTTGTGCAAACTCGAAAGTTAACTCTCAAGAGTAACAAAGTAAATTGATAAAAGTAGATTATTCATTATGCTATAAACTAAGAGCTCGTTTGAAAAAGTGATTCTGAAGGGGTCAATAATCACTTTTATGAAGAATCACTTCTCTAAATAATCACTTTAAGCAATTTATGAAGAAGCACTGTGCAAACTCGAAAGTTAACTCTCAAGAGTAACAAAGTAATTGATAAAAGTAGATTATTCATTATGCTATAAACTAAGAGCTCGTTTGAAAGAGTGATTCTGAAGGGGTCAATAATCACTTTTATGAAGAATCACTTCTCTAAATAATCACTTTAAGCAATTTATGAAGAAGCACATGAGAAGTGTTTCTCCCTATAATCACTTAAAATCACTAAAACTGATTATATGGAGAAGCACCTCTAACGTGTTTCTCCCCAACAAAACAATGATTCTAGCCTATCCAGAATCACTCCCAAATATACCAAGAAGAAAAACATATTTACATTAACACTTTTGTTACCTCTTTACAAAAATTCAAACTGCAAAATTTCAAGTACCCAACTCTTCTTTTATTCTCTAATTTTCTCTTCAAGATGCCCAAGACAAATTTGGGAAATTTTTAGAATGTCACATAAACTTGCACCATTTTTAAAATCTCTAATTTATCACCTAATGTAAATGCAAACTCCAAAAGTTTGTTAAGAGTTGTCATGTGTACATGCATCCTACTCAAGGGAGTTCTCAGTAATTTACAAATAAATAATTTTAAAATAAAAACTTAAGAATTGCAAAATTTCTTCCCTCCCCAACCTCCCCACGCCAACCACTGGTGCTCCAGAAACTACCGGGGTTACAGAGACCAAGTTAACCAGGCCGACTCATTACCCGGGCCACCACTCCGAAAACCTATTCTTCTCCAGAAAACCATAGTCAAGAGATGAGAAACAAACAAAATGGTGGACTGGGTAGGTGGACAAATGGTGGGGGTGGTGGTGCGTGGCTTTGGTTTGACAGTTTTTTATCAAAGTACTTTTACTTTGGCTCTGGTTTGGAGGCTTTTTTATTACTCGCTTTCAGAACCCACAACTGGAAGAATCAATAACTTTGATTTGCCCAACAGGTTAGTTTCTTATTCTTTTCATTTTCATCGGGTTTCTTCTTGGAAAGGAGGAAGTCTCCTGACTTCTAAACGTTCAGCACCCTTTTGGTTTCTTCTTGGTTTTCCCCCCCTTTTCAGCATATATGTATAATATAGGATGTAGGGTTAAATGATCACCACTTAAGGGAGGGGAATCGAACCTATGATCTCGGATGCAAGGATAAATTCTCACTACTTGAACTACAAGCCCTTTGCGATTTGTATCTTCTTTTCAAATTCTCACCTAGCGGAGTAATTCTTGACTACAAATGGTTGTATACAACTTTGTATCCATCACTTTCATCACGTGACAAGAAGGATAAGGATAGACTCATAATTTTATCCAACCGATTAATATCACTTACTTGACACGTACTCTTACTCTCACAACATTTCATCAAGTTATCAATGTGAGATATTTCATTATGTGATGGAATCTCTTGGTGTTCAGCGCCTCAGCTCTCATGTCTCAGTTTTTGATCCTCTAATTATATAGACTGCAAGTTGCTTCCTAAAAATCATGTAAAGTATGATGCCTGCACAAACAAAGAAGTGGGTGAGAAGTAAAGATGTTACTTGCACATGTTTCATTGTAGAACGACCTCTCCAGCTTCCCTTTGATTTTGCTGGGAACTATGGAGGGCAAGCCCCAAGTTCAAATTCCAACAGTTAAACTGGGTAGTCAGGGCTTAGAGGTAAGTTTGTTTACAGAGAGTAAACTTTGCTGTTTAGTTTTTTCTGGTCACTGGAAATTGGCATTGAGTTCTTTTGGATTGTAGGTTTCTAGATTGGGCTTTGGATGCAGGGGGCTATCTGGAACACACAACTTTCCTCTCTCTCATGAGGCTGGATGTTCAGTTATCAAGGAAGCATTTGATAGGGGTATCACCTTCTTTGATACTTCAGATGTTTATGACCAAAATCATGATAATGAAATCTTGGTTGGCAAGGTACTGTTCTTTCTTTTTTCAAGTTTGAATCCATGCTTCAAAATTTGATGAAAATTTGCGCTAAGCTTGGGGGATTAATTCTTTAGTAGGGATATTTTGGTAGAAAAGTTGTTAAAGATATACCTTTTTTTTTGGGGTGTGTTTCTCAGGCTTTGAAACAGCTTCCTAGAGAAAAAGTTCAATTGGCTACAAAATTTGGTACCTTTATGTTGAACGACGTTACAGTTGGGGTAAAGGGGACCCCAGAATATGTAAGAGCATGTTGTGAAGCTAGTCTTAAACGGCTGGCTGTCAGCTACATTGAGCTATACTATCAGCACCGTGTGGATGTTTCAGTTGTTAGATTTCTTTAGTAAATAATCTAGATCTTTCACACAAACATGTAATACGTATAAAGACATGGAAGACATACCTGGAGCCATCTTCCTTGAGTACACAGCTTTTGAACTCATCCTATCCGTTGCGCAGCAATCCTAGCAATTTATCAGGGACGGCTCAAGAACTTCTGCTCTCTCTCAGAATCTGTTTCAGCTCTCTCTTTATGATGAGAATAGGTTTTGAGAACGTGTCTGATGAGAGCAGGGCCTTAAGCTTATATAGGGCTAGGTCAAGTCGTCTCTACTCATCACCGAGGGCCGACTTGACTAATCTTCCAAGCCCACTTAATCGGTTCACGCAAAAAGGAAACAAAAATAGGACTCCTTAATAGGCCCTAAAACCTTTCCTTATTTCACAAGGTTTTGGGCCTCAAGGTACAACTTAATTTAAACCCTTATCAAACCTGATGTGACTTAGTATCTAGTGCACCGATCTAATTAGGAAAACATAACATTTTCAGTGCCCCAATTGAGGATACTGTAAGCATGTTTCCCTTTATCATTCTATCTTATATCTTGATGACTATATATGAATATATATGTATTCTGCTTTGAATTTTATGTTTATGTGAGGAAGATGGAGGAGCTTAAGAAGCTGGTAAATGAAGGAAAGATAAGATACATTGGTCTATCAGAAGGCAGTGTTGACACAATAATTAGAGCTCATGTTGTTCATCCCATCACTGCTGTACAAATGGAGTATTCTCTGTGGAGTCAAGAAATCAAAAACGAGATAATTCCACTTTGCAGGTTTCTAATTTTTCACCTCTCAGTTCAACATTGTCAAATTCGTAAGCTTATATTGATACTTCTGTACTTTCAGGAAGCTTGGAATTGGGATCGTGTCATATAGCCCACTTGGTCGTGGGCTCTTTGGTGGGAAGGCAGCTGTAGAGAGCTTGCCTGCAGACTGTTTGTTGGTATGATAATCTTCATCTATAAACATATGCATAATTGGTGTTTTTTTTTTTTATGACATTGTTGAATATGCATAACATGAATGCTTTATTTGGTGAAAGCAATAGGGCTTTCTAAACTCACATTGGTGTTCTGTGTTCCAGTCTAAACATCCAAGGTTCAATGGGGAGAACTTGGAAAAGAACAAACTTCTCTACAGTAAACTTGTCACCCTTGCTGCAAAGCATGCATGCACTGCTCCACAATTAGCTCTGGCGTGGCTTCTCCACCATGGAAATGACATCATCCCAATCCCCGGTAGGCTTATCTCTTTCGCTTAAACACAACGCTGTCTTTGCTAAGTGAAATCCAAATCTTAGACTTGTCTGGTGTGCTTCTGTTTTTTGTCAACTCCTGCCTGAACACAGTTTTGGACACATACATTTTTACTAGCCAAATGATACTTATTGTCCAATTTGTTTATATACAACAGGGACCACTAAAGTTAAGAACCTTGATACCAACGTTGGATCATTGGATGTGGAGCTTACAAAAGAGGATCTGAAAGAAATTTGTGATGCTGTGCCGATTGATGAAGTTAGGGGCGACCGAGAATTTGAATTTCTGTCAAAATATGCCTGGAATTATGCAAATACCCCCTCAAAGCAAATCCCAATTATGGAAACAGATGCTAACTGAAAATGTGAGCTTTCAGTGCTACTGTGATAAATAAGCACTTCTGCTTGAACTCTCCTTGTATGTTTAGTTCACGAATATATATATTTTCCCAAGCTAAAGTTGGAATGAACAAAATAAGCAACCCCAAATTTCTCACTAAAAATTCCGAAAGAAATTGCCACTTATGCATGTAGTTTTCACCACTTGATGTAAATTATCATCCAAATGGCTTGGTAGTACGGATCCCGAACCTTTATATTTAAGAATTGTGCATTTACTAGTATTTCACAAAATTTGGACCATTCAAATGCTGGTATGCAGATCAACAACTTTTCATGACCAAATCTTTCAGTCGATTTTACAATAAATAAAACATGTCGTTCTGTCCATTGATCCATACGACATGCTAAACTGGGCGGTCGCTTGATTTCCTTAAGTGATGTGTTTTAATCTTCACCGTTGGTTGGAACTTGAAACCAACGGTCAAGATGTGCAGCGGAGAAACCGCGCCTTTGTTATAAACCTCTGGTTCTTGTTCAGACACCAAACCAGAACCCGTAACAAACTCTGTTTTTTGGTCAATCCAGTAACCGAAGAGTTCTTTCTTCACCTTCTGAGAATCTAAAATCAAGTTTCTTACTGAGCTTTTTTCTAGGGTTTATAGTTTTCTTGGTAAGAATTATAATGGAAAACGAGAACATTCCTGATCAGAGAGAAGAAAGTGGAGTCCCGAATCAAGATTCTCAAAGTCTTGATCTTGAAGCTCTTCAAGCGACATCAGAACTGAACAAATCCACCATGGACAATAAGGGCAGCGCATCGATCTCGACTGAAGAAATTGTGGGTCGTGACCAGCGTACTGAGTTGGAGGTTGAGGAAGAAGAAAGTCTAAATATGAGTGGGGTTTTGCTGGGTAGGACTGAAGGGTTGAAAAGTGAAGAAGAAGATGCTGTGAAAGCAAAGTTCTTGAATGGAAAAGAGAACAGTACTGAAGATGGGTCAGTGTGTGGACAAGAGAACAGTACTGAAGATGGGGCAGTTGCTGATCAGCAAGGCCTCAATCCTCCACTTCATTCTGAAATTGCTGAACAGAAACACGCTGCAGATTCAGAATTGAGGCATTCTTGTAGTTCTGAAGGAGATGGGAAGGAGATTGTGGGTTCAGATGAGATTGTGAAAGGAGAGGTTGTGGAATCAGTGTTCTTGAATGAAAAAGTGGTGGGTTCGGATGAGAATCTGGGTTTGATAACTGGGTCAGTGTCAGTGGGTGGACAAGAAAAGACTGAAAATGGGAAAGGGTTAGTTACTGATCAACAAGACCTCAATAATCTTGTTCCTGAAATTGCTGAGAAAGAGCAGATTGGTTCTGGTTCAGGAGGAGTCACAGATCAAAATTTTGAGTTTGGAATGAGTGCAGATGACGTGACATTAGGAGAGGCTGATGAATCCAATCAAGAATGGAGGGATGTCAAAGAGGCTATCATGAGAGCAGATCAGCTGGACCTAGAGTCTATTGGCCTAAAGATTGAACGTCGGGTGCGAGCTTCGGTTGAGGACGTGGTGAGATATCCCCAGATGAATTCAAAGACAATGAGTCTCTCTATAGGTGACTGGGAGAGAATTCTGGAGATGAGAGATGTTTCTGGATTGATGGCAGGGTATGAGACTCGGGTTTGTCCATTGGAAGCTGATCAAGTACCTATGCAGAGAGAACTTGGAGAGCTGAAAAAGAAAAACGTTGAGATTACATTCGAGAATTTGTCTCTCGAGGCACAGACAGATGGAGAGCAAAGAAAGATGCAGGCATTAAAGGCGCATTCTGAGTCTCAACTTTCTGATATGGAAGGTAAACTTGGTGTTATTAAGGAAGCAGAACTTGATAAGGGGAAGACTATTGCTGAACTTGAAGAAGAAACAAAAACTGAAGTTGAGAAGGAAAAGAATGAGATTCATGAATTGCAGGAACTAGTTATCGTGGAAGAATCAAAAGAGACTGAGTTGAAAGTGGAGATGCCATCGAAGGCCCCAGGGCTGCTGCATGGGCCTAAGCTGCTGATGTCTGCCGGTGTCGTAATAACTGCTATACTTTACACAGCATTGAAGATGAAGCGAGGGTAAAGGACGAAAATATGACAAAACTGCTCAGCAGTCCTCTTGTATTGGGTATCCATAGGCCATTGAGAGTACAAAAGTAGATACAGAGAGAATTTTCAGAGATTTGGTGATAGTTTGGATCATGTTTTAGTATCTGTTGTGTTTGGAATTGGTAAGCTCACTGCGTCTTTACCACAAAATTAGTGAGAAAGTGTAATAGATTCAACGTGAAGATTTGAAACAAATAAAAATCATGTCTTTCTTTTTGGGGAGTTTTGTACCTTTCATTAATACTTCTTCTTTTGCTTATATTTTATATATGTCAGCTACTTGTTTGTTTCTTTTTTAATTAGTAGGGGATTTCGGACTTGGGATCTCTTCCGACTAATTGCTAGTAGGTATGTCTGTCTGCTACTTCTTCTAAGCAAACAAATTTTATCTCTAAATGTCTGGTCATTGTGTGCTGGTTCTGTTTATATGCCTAAAAATGCTTTTGGTAGCTCAACTGTATGCCAATCTCCTTGTATGTTTAGGAGCTTTCAATTCAAACTGAAGTTATTACTGTTCTGTTAGTTCTACCCTTAGGAAGCCATAGCAGATGTTGGCACTTGTAGAGCACAAAATGAACACGCAATATGAGGTTTATTAATTTAAACCTCAAGTATGGCTAAATGACAGTTTGTTCCCACATGATAGACAGTTGTTCAACTTGTAATAAATCTAAAAACAGCTGTCTATTTGAAAATATTTTTTTCTTCTTGTATCATTTTTCACATTTTGTTATAATAATGGATATTCTTAACATAAAGAATAGACAATTTGGTTTCTCTAATTAATGCACTGCAAGTTGCTTCCAATAAGTCAAGAAAAACAAATAAATAAATAAAGTCAGTGTCTGGTGCCTTGTAGTTGGTGAGAAGTAGACATGTTACTGAACAAGTAAGCTAGTTTCTCTGGTTATATGCAAGCAAGTTTTTCATTGTAGAACTATCTCCAGCTACACTCTGGGTTTGCTGAGAATGGAGGACAAGCCCCAGATTCAAATGCCATTAGTTAAACTGGGTAGTCAAGGATTGGAGGTAAGCTTGTTTTTCTTTATCATATTGATGTGTATGTAAGACAAATATATTATTCTGATCAGTTTAGAACCATCTGAAACAATTAAGAGCAGCATCTGTCACAGTTTATCAACATTCATTCTCATCATGCTGAGATTGCCAGGCTGATTTTCAGTCGTTTTCTAATCAGTTCACTGTAGCTATTTGATTTTCAGTTTCTTGGTGCTTTGACTATTTAAGTCTTGCATTTGTGGGTAATAGTAGAAACAAAATTTTTGTTTGATTTGGTGTTTGAGAAATAGAGAGTGAGTCTTCTCTGATTTTAGTGCCCTGAATCATACAACTGTTTGTACAACTGGATTGCACTCACTTAGAAAAAAAAAAAACACCTAATCACATAATCAAAGGCTAATTTCAGATTTAGCCAGGCCTTTGCAACAGTTTGGTATACTTCATTGAAAATTGGCATTTAGTCCATGTGGGAAAATTATTAATTGGTTGTTACTTATAAAGAAACTCACTGTTCCTTTCTCCTCATGGGTCTTTTCTGCAATGTAGGTTTCTAGACTGGGTTTTGGATGTGCAGGACTATCTGGAATATACAGCGGTAACAAAGCTCCTCTCTTTGATGAAGCTGCGTGTTCAGTTATTGAGGAAGCATTCAATAGGGGTATCACTTTCTTTGATACTTCAGATCTTTATGGCCAAAATCATCATAATGAATTCTTGCTTGCAAAGGTACTGTTCTTAATCTTTTAAAATTTGAATGCAAGATGAGATTTGATGAACTCTTGCTTAAAGAGGAAAAGAAAAGCAATACAACATAAAGTTTGATATGACATGCTATCTAAAAGTGGGAAAACTTGGGTAGAAAATCGTTATAGAATTCCTTTACTCATCTTGTATTTTCAGGTTTTGAAACAGCTTCCTCGAGAAAATGTTCAATTGGCTACAAAGTTTGGCATTGTCATGTCGGACAACTATCAATTTGGAGTGAGGGGGACCCCTGAATACGTAAGAGCATGCTGTGAAGCTAGTCTTAAGCGGCTGGACGTCAACTATATCGATCTGTACTATCAGCACCGTGTTGATGTTTCAGTGCCGATCGAGGACACTGTAAGCATTAGGAGACCTTTTCCCCTTATCATTCTTCTATCCAATGTCTCAATGAACATACAAGGTCTACAATGTCTATATCTTTATATCTTGATGGCTACATATATTTTGAATTCTCTTATGTGAGGAAGATGGGGGAGCTTAAGAAGCTGGTAAATGAAGGAAAGATAAGATACATTGGTCTATCAGAAGCTAGTGTTGACACAATAAGAAGAGCTCATGCTGTTCATCCAATCACTGCAGTACAAATGGAGTATTCTCTGTGGTGTCGTGAAATCGAAAACGAGATAATTCCACTTTGCAGGTTTGTTAATACTCTCACCTCTGAATTCTGCATTGTCAAATTTGCTTTAAAAAACTTGGATTTAATTATATTGCAAAATCTGAGTGGATGGGAGAATATTATTGATGTCACCAAGTTGAGACCTCTAAACTTTACAGGCAACTTGGAATTGGGATAGTATCATATAGCCCCCTCGGCCGAGGGTTTTTTGGTGGTAAGGCAGTGGTAGAGAGCTTGCCTGCAGAGAGTTTGCTGGTATAAGTTTGTTTAATTTGTTGCATAGACTTATCTAATTTATTAGAGAAATCACCTTTTAAATTAAACTCACATTGCTGTGATCTTGTCCCAGTATACACACCCCAGGTTCAATGGGGAGAATTTGGAAACGAACAAACTTCTCTATGGCAAACTTGCCAACCTTGCTGCAAAGCATGCATGCACGGTTCCTCAATTAGCTCTGGCATGGCTTCTCCATCAGGACAATTATATAGTCCCAATCCCTGGTATGTTTGACTCTTTCTCTTGAAAATATAATGATATGGCAATATTGTAGGTTTAAAAAAAATAAAGACTAATTAATTTTCTACTTTGAATATATACAGGGACCACTCAAGTTAAGAACCTTGATATCAATATTGGATCATTGGATGTAATGCTTACAGAAGAGGATTTGAAAGAAATTTGTGATGCTGTTCCCATTGATGAAGTTTGTGGTGACAGAGAATTTGAACTTTTTGCCAAATATGTCTGGAACTATGCAAATACCCCAGCAAAGTAATCGAAACTATGGAATTTGACAGTAAAGCGCAAGCTTTCAGTAATAAATTTTTATTTGTTAGTATGCTAACCATTCTGGTTTCCTTAGTTACACTTGCAAATTGTATCTCTAAATTGTTGGTCAATTGGTTATTGTTTTCTGGTTCTGTTTGTATGCCAATCTCCTTTCAAATTCAGACAAGGGTTTTGACATACCAAATTATCTCTAGTCATGCATTGATGCACATTTGAGCATGAAAACAGTACACAGTGACACAATTTAAGTAAAACAATATGCAAGGGAGGAGGTATCTATTAAACCAAAATTGCCTTGCTGAAAAGTGTGAGGCAAAGACGCTTTCACAGTGAACTTTTGATGAGGCAAACATTTGAAGTGGAATGGGAAGTAAACATGCTTAGTTTGGTTTCTTTATAAAATAAAAAAACATTTAATATTAGTCTCACATGCATTCTCTTTTAAGGTTTTTCTCCTCAACAGCAAAGTATTGAGGGGTCAGTTGCTGACAGTAAACCGAATAAATAAGTAAAGTCAACGTCTGTCTACTGCAAAGTGGCCCCTTTTAGAAGTATTGAAGTCGGTGAGAAATAAACATGCCACCTGAAATTGCAAGCTAGTTCTTCATTGTAGAACCATCTCCAGCTACGTCTGCTTTAGTTGGAAATGGAGGACAAGTCCCAAACTCATATACCAAGAGTTCAACTGGGCAGCCAGGGATTGGAGGTAATTTTTTATTTTTTATTTTTTATTTCCTTCTCTCACATTGATCTGTATGAGAAGTCAACTACATTATGCTATCAACTTGGACCTATCTGAAACATTAAAGAACATAATATGTCACTGTAGTAATTTTTATTTCCGGTTTCAGTTCACTGTAGTAATTTGATTGAAGAACAAATTAGGAATATGTGATGTGTTTAAAGTTTATAGATTCGATCAGAAAACTTTGAGAACAGTCTCATTTTCAATTTTTCATCTATTGGGTACAAAAACTGAGTTTCAGACTTTCAGCATCTTTGATGGGTTATGACAATCATCTGCCACTGCCACTGCCACAGATGGGTACAGGATGATCACTCACTGATTGATTTATCTTCAAGCTCAAAAGAAAAAAGGTCCAATCTTTTTAGTGTTTTTGACAAATAAGTCTTGCATTTGTGGGTAATTTAGACACAAATTTTTTGTTTGATTTGGTTTGGTATATACTTCATTGGAAATTGGTATTTAGCTCATGGGGTAATTACTTCTCAAGAACTTGCTTTTCTTTTCTCTTCATGGATTTTCTTCTGGACTGTAGGTTTCTAGATTGGGTTTTGGATGTGGAGGATTATCAGGAATATACAACGCTCCTCTCTCCCATGAAGCTGGATGTTCAGTTATTAAGGAAGCATTTAGTAGGGGCATCACCTTCTTTGATACTTCAGATATTTATGGTGATAATCATGATAATGAAATCATGGTTGGAAAGGTACTTTTCTTTCTAGTTTTTGTCAAATTTGAATCAAGGCTTCTAATTTTGGATGAACACTTGAACTAAGCATCTTTGGTCATTCCAATGTTGGCATTTCCATTGCAGTTCTCTGTTTCACTTTGTTCAGGGGTTGAGTGGCAATATAAAGAGGAAAAAGAAAAGCAATACCACATTATTTACCTTGTGTTTTCTTTGCAGATATGCAGCATGTTAAGTAACCCATCATGGGATATCCATAATATGTTTGATAAGACATGTTTGTAAAAGTGGGAAGGTTTTGGTAGAAATTTCTTAAAGAATTCATTTAATCTTCTTGTATTTCCAGGCTTTGAAACAGCTTCCTAGAGAAAAGGTTCAATTAGCTACAAAATTTGGCATTGTCAGTTCCGACGGTTTTCAATTTGGGGTGAATGGGACCCCAGAATATGTAAGAACATGCTGTGAAGCTAGTCTTAAGCGGCTGGATGTCAACTACATTGATCTGTACTATCAGCACCGTATTGATGTTTCAGTGCCAATTGAGGATACTGTAAGCTAAGCATCCAGAGACTTTTTTCATTCCATTTATGATCCTGTCTATCTAACTATCATTATGACCGTTCTGATTGGAATTATGTTTTGTGAGAAAGATGGGGGAGCTTAAGAAGCTGGTAAATGAAGGAAAGATAAGATACATTGGTCTATCAGAAGCAAGTGCAGACACAATAAGCAGAGCCCATGTTGTTCATCCCATCACTGCTGTACAAATGGAATATTCTCTGTGGACTCGTGAAATTGAAAACGAGATCATTCCCCTTTGCTGGTTTCTTATTTTTCACCTCTAAGTTTTGCAATGTCAGATTCACAAGTTTAGTTACCTAGGTGAAGATTGTTGATACCACTTTTACTTACAGGAGGCTTGGAATTGGGATAGTATCTTATAGCCCACTTGGACGTGGGTTCTTTGGTGGGAAGGCAGTTTTGGAGAGCTTGCCTGCAGATAGTTTGTTGGTATGTGACTTTGAATGAATGATGATGAAATCTTATTTTCATAATCTTCTTCTAAACCAGATTCATATTTTATTTTAGTGCCTTTTTCAAATTCACATTTTTGTTCTTGTCCCAGTCTATGCATCCAAGATTCAATGGGGAGAATTTGGAAAAGAACAAACTTCTCTACAACAAACTTGCCAACCTTGCTGCAAAGCATGCGTGCACTGCTCCACAATTAGCTCTGGCATGGCTTCTCCATCAGGGCAGTCACATAATCCCAATCCCTGGTATGTTTGAGTACTCTTTCTCTGTAAAATAATGCTCTCTTTACCATGCTACGTAAAACTCAAATCTTCATATGTACAGAGTAACTACAACTGTTAATTGAATGATACTTTTTTTTATCCTCCACTTTGATTTACATACAGGGACCACTAAGGTTAAAAACCTTGATATCAATATTGGGTCATTGGATGTGAAGCTTACAGAAGAGGATTTGAAAGAAATTTGTGATGCTGTGCCCATTGATGAAGTTGGTGGGGAGCGAGAGTATGAAGTTTTCTCAAAATATGTCTGGAATTTTGCAAATACCCCATCCAAGTGATCAAATTTGTGGAAACAGAAAATAAATTCCAAAGCTTTAAAGTGCTTTTGTGTGATGAATTAGTAGTTTTCAAAAACTAAATGTCCTCAAGATGAAAGGCTGGTTCTGGAAATTGTGAGCCTAACGTAGAACATTCATGATTAACAACTTACATCCTTTTCTGATTTATCAAACGTTTGATATTTCAACTTCAATTGTATACAGCTAAGATACCTTGTCCTTGAAACAAACGGCGGGACCTCAAAATCTCTGACTACAACGTTGTGCTGTGTGAGGGAAGCCACGTCCCTCCTACCACCATGTAAGGACAAGACAGCCATAAATGCCCAGCAAGCCTTCCAAGCTATCAAACAAATGACATTGACAGAGCAAGAAACAATCTCACTTTTTTTCTGTGTCTGCCATTACTGATTTAGCTTAAATCCTCAAAAAAAAAGTGAAGAGCTTGAACAAACGTGACCTCAGAAATCACTGGCTGCTGCAGAGTGGTGTCTGCAGCTGCCACGTCTCTCACTCCACCTGTGTGGACTAGAAAACCCACGTGGCAAATTCTTACTGGGGAGGCAAATGAGTGACGTGGTGCCAAAATATTCCGTTCATGGGCTTCCCCCCACTAGGGCAATTACCCTATAAAACGCCACTCAAGGCATGCAAATTAAATAAACAAGATCTCCAGAACAACCAAGCCTTCAAGTCTTTCTATATCTCTTCAAGTCTTTCATTGAAGCATAAATTACTACAATGGCTGCCTCAGCTTCCATGCAATCAATCCTAGCAAATTCAGTGGTTTATGGAGCTGGAAAGAGTGGATCAGTGAGAGTGAGCCACCTGGTTCCTGCTAAATACGCACCAACATCCCACAGGTACCCTCAACTGAGGGTACGTTCCATGGCAGAGGTAATTTATTATTAAGCATCTAGCTTGGTGCCTTAATTGTATTTGTCTTTTGGGTTATGTGCAGTTTTAGCTGTAGTAATTAAATAAGTGATCCTAATTAACCATATTTAATTAATGTTTCATTTGCAGAATGGTCAGGAAGAGCAACCATCTACAACACCAGAGGCATCTAAAATTCCTCCACCACCTCCACCACCTCCACCACCTACTCCTTCTCCTAAGCGTAGTCCTAAGGTTAGCACAAAGTTCTCCGACGTGTTTGCATTCAGTGGGCCAGCCCCAGAGAGGATCAACGGCAGGCTTGCAATGGTGGGGTTTGTTTCAGCTCTGGCAGTGGAGCTATCCAAGGGGCAGGATGTGTTTGCTCAGATATCCGACGGTGGAGTGTCCTTGTTCCTTGCCACAAGCATTTTGCTATCGGTGGCATCTGTGATTCCTCTGTTCAAAGGGGTGAGCGTGGAGTCGAAATCAGATGGGATAATGACTTCAGATGCTGAGCTGTGGAATGGAAGGTTGGCCATGTTAGGTCTGGTAGCTTTGGCCTTCACTGAGTATGTGAAGGGAGGAACCCTAGTGTAGGTCTTAATCATTGTTGTAGAAGTTTTCCACATGTAATTAGTCTGTACGAATCTTTATAAGAATATCACATTTTTCATACTCCATGATCTTAATATGCGTACCCTTAATTTCATTAAGCCTAAAGATAATGTTTAATAGTCTCTCTCAAGTATCAAACATTGATGCCACTATGTGGGCCGCCATGGGCTGTAGTCCGGGGAAGGTTTTTGGGAAGAAAATATATATATATAGCTCAGTATTTTAATCCATAAATAAATAAATAAATAAATATACAATTTCATACATTATCAACATCAATAAGCATATATATAGTCAGAGGTCTTCAAAATTTGTATTTGGTGATTGTCCCAACATTAATTTTAATAATTTTTTATTAATTTATCTCCAAAAGAGAAGCATTTTTCTAAATGAAATTCACCATTTTGTGAATAATATGGCTCTTATTCCTTTTTTGTTTTCTTGTGTTTGCAATAAATATGGTTTATATGATTTAATATATACATTTATTTCTAGAAAAACTATAGAAACTGTAAGTACCAAAAAACTATTTATTAAATAAAAAGCTTCCACCAAAGAATAATTATTAAATTAATAATTAAATTTAGTTAGCCCACCTGTTAAAAAATTCATGTGCGGATTCCGCACATCAATAGAAAGAAAAACAAACACATGTTGCTTGATGACTATGTTAAAATAGGGATCTTCCATGTGAGTTTGATTACTCCAAACCCAACCTTATACGTGTGATATTGGTCTACGTGTCTTTATTGGGATTGTTTTTTAAGGATTAAAAGCAACCAAAAGTAATATGGGTTGGCAAAATAAGAAAAAAATAACTTTAAAGTATTTCTGGATATAAAAACAATTTCTGAAAAATCACTTTGGAGAGTCCAGTTTTCCTGTTTCCTTTTTGCCTGTGCCCACCTGTTTTTCCTTTATTCTTCTGACATGTGTCCTCTTAACTAACAGAATGTTAACTCTGTTAAGTCTCTCAATTTTTATTAAAATTTTATAAAATAATTCTTTCATCTTCATCTTCCCTTTTATAAAAATAAAAAATAAAAATCGTTCATCTTTGCAACCAGCACACCTCAGCGACAGCCCCCTCTGCTCGTCACTCCCCCAAGCCTCATTTCTCTCTCTTTGAATTTCTGCACCATATCAAGATAGTTTGAAATCAGCCCGACTCTTCTCCCACTTCGAATGCATCATCAACCACTGCCAGCTCTCTCTCGTTTTCTCTCTATTTCCATTATTTTCTTTTGGATTATTTTATGTCTTTAAAAATTGGTTCTTTGATCAGTCGATCATCAACATGACAAAGCCTAAGAACAATCGCGCCTCGAGATCACTACGGAGAAAATGAAAATGCAAGTTTTTTATTCAAAAAGTTAAAAAATAGAAAGCAAAAATAAATTGCAATAGTTTATCAGTTCTCACAACATTTTGGGGGTTTTTGTTTTTTAGAGTGTGAAGAGAGTTTTGTGCTTCTTGTTCCAGATCTATTTCCTCTCAAAATCTTCATATTCAGAACACCTCCATGGCTCATCTTCTGAGAGAGAGAGAGAGGAGGAGGAGGAGGAGGAGGCTGGGTGGTGGTGATTGTGGGGGTAGTGTTGGTTGTTAGAGTTTTGCTTGGGTTGCTGCTAGGTTTCTGGATTTTTATTTTTCATTTTATTAAAAGTTAACAACGTTATATTTGATGTTAAGAGATGACAGGTGTCAGAAGAATAAGAGGAAAACAGGGTGGGCACAGGGAGAAAGGAAACAGGAAAACTGGACTCCACTTTGGATGCCTTTTAGGCTAATATATCATACCCCGCAGTGAAATTAACATGAATTTATTGGGGCCAATTACGAAATGTCACTCAACTTATTAAGCTAATCACTCAACTTTTCCAATTACGAAATGTCACACTAGCTTTGTCCCATAAGAATCCGTGAATACAGCTAAGATTCTTTGTGTTGTGCATATGCAAGTGCCAAGCTACAATACAAAGTGAAAACCTTGAACAAATGGGACCTCAGAAATCAGTGACTGGGACGCTGTGGTGTGTTTGGGGAGCCACGTCCCTCGTACCACCATGTATGGACAACACAACAAAAAATGTCCACAAGGCTCTCCAAGCTATCGAACAAATGCAACTGACTGTGAGAGAGCCAGAGCACGTATATATAATCATCTGTATTTTTTCTTTCTCATGAAAATAAAGCAAATGATTCAATGACAGGGAAGGGCAAGTTTGTCTGCTATTACTAAAGTACTCGTGGCCCCGTGAGACATCGGCCGTCCTGCTCAAAGGATCAAAAAAGTGAAGACCCTGAACAAATTAATGTCACCACCGTCTAGCGTGCATATGTATGTGCTGCAGCCACGTCCGTTACAACAAGAGAAACACAACCACGTTCCATTTCAATGAGAGAAACTTACATGTAACGGTGTATGTTTCTTTGAGTATGTCGACTCTTCTCATAACAACGTGTGATGAATTATGAAAGAAGAGAGAGTGACCGAAAGAGATATTACTAAACTATCCACATGGCCCAGTATTAGTGGGAAAGCAAATATGTGACGTGGTGCCAAATTATACACCGCTCAAAGAACTTCCCCCACTAGCTAGGGCCATTACACTGCTGTATAAAGCCACTCAAGGCATACAAATTTAATAGACAAGGTCAATAACAAACAAGGCCTTGAAATCTTTTATCTCTTCTCACTGTTTGTTTAGAAGCATATATACAATTTACAAATACATACAATGGCTGCATCAGCTTCCATGCAATTAATATTCATAGCTAATAACTCGGTGGCTCATGGAGCGGGGAAGAACAAATTCATGAACTTGGTCGTAAACAATATGTGTCAAGGCATGCCATAAATAAATCAATTTCTATATAACTAGCACAAAATTTCTGGACTTGCTTGCATTCAGTGGGCCAGCGCCGGAGAGGATCAACGGCAGGCTTGCAATGGTGGGGTTTGTTTCAGCTCTGGCAGTAGAGCTATCCAAAGGCCAGGATGTGTTTTGTCAGATATCCAACGGTGGAGTCTCGTTGTTCGTAGGCACTAGTATTTTGCTAACAGTGGCATCTTTGATACCTCTGTTCAAAGGGGTGAGCGTGGAGTCCAAATCAGATGGGATAATGACGTCAGATGCTGAGTTGTTGAATGGAAGGTTGGCCATGTTAGGGATGGTAGCTTTAGTCTTCACTGAGTATGTGACTGGAGGGACCCTTGTGTAATTAAGGTCTTAATCATTATAGCTTAATGCCTTGTAAAAGTCTTTCACATGTATATATACATATTTAGTCTTTACAAATATTTATAAGAAATTGCAAAATTTGATACTTCAGAAGCAAATATACTATTAATTTATTATTTAAGCATAAAGTTTACCCAATTTAACTTAAATATATGGGCATCAATTTGGCAGAAGCATATATACTTCTATCAAGAATTAAACATGTTGATGGGTCATCGGACGGAGAAAACTTCGAGAATATTAGGAAATGTCATATACTTTGTCTCAGAATCGGTCAAACAAGAACACCTAAAAATGTGATGAAACAACTTTTGGTCTCAACAACTTGTTAGATTGAAAAAATGCCAATTTCTTCTCCTCCAAAAACTCTTTTTATAAATAATACCATCATACGGGGCATATATGTAGGCATTCGCGCAAATAGGAATGATTAATGGTTCATTTGGTTGATTTCAAATCTTGGGATTTATATAGCATTATTATAAAGTTAAATTGTTTGTTTAGACTACTACAATTCATGTATGTCAAGATTTTGAATAAGCCGGACATGAATAATATAAAAACATTCCAAATTCCTGCATATATAGTCATTTCAAAATCATTCAAAATAAATGTAATAACTAGTTATTTCAAATAAATTTAATCTTTTGTTTTATAATATATTTATTTATTTTATTTTAAAAAAATTGCTTTGTTGTCATATCCAAATCATGTATTGCGCGAATACCTCCATCCAAATGGAGCTTAATAGCCAAAAATTTGAACCTAAACATACAAGTGACTTCCTAACCTAAACATTAATAGTAGGGCCCTCTGTCTCTATGGCCCCACAATAAAACAGACGTGCATTAATAGCTAGAAATTAGTCACGCGACTGACTTTACATTTTCCTCATCATAAATATAACAAATTCAATAGTCCATAAATTATGTGAGTATTAGTAATATACACAAAAAAAGAGAGATGCAGCGTCAAATACACATACAGCAGAATACAGTGTCCAATAGCCAAAATGCAGATAATAATTCCTTGTGTTGTGCATGCAATTGCCAAGCTACAATACGTACAAAGATGAAAAAGAGAAAACCTTGAAAAAATGGGAGGGACTTCAGAAATCTCTGAATGGGACATTGTGGTGAGCCACTTCTCTCGTACGTACCACAGTGTATGGACAAGACAACATTGAATGTCCAAGCTCCAAGCTATCCAACACATACATGTGACAGTGAGACAGCCACAAAGGATCAAAAAAATTGAAGACCTTGAACAAATTAACGCGACCACCGTCTAATAACATTGCGGTAAGTGCCGCAGCCACGTCCTGTATGAAGAAAAATTTAAATAATGTAATGGTGTATATTTCTTGAAGTATGTCGATTGACTCATTTCATAATGTAATGAGTTATGGAAGAAGATAAAATAGACAGAGAAACCGACAAGACTATTATTAAACTATTTTCAAATTAGTCATTTTCGGACAACAAAATCCACGTGGCACAGCTACACACCACTCAAGAGCTTCCCTCAACTAGGGCCATTACCCTACTATAAAAAGCCACTCAAGGCATACAAATTTATAATACACAAGATCAATAAACAAGCAAAGCCTTCAAATCTCCTTTCTTCTCTCTGTTTTATTAGTGTTTAATTGAGAAGCATATACACAAGTACAATGGCTGCATCATCTTCCATGCAATCAATATTTCTTGCTAACTCCGTGGCTTATGGAGCGGGAAAGAACAAATGTGTTGGTGTTATTTCAGTGCCTGCTCTGCATAGGTACTCTCCCATGAGGGTACCGTCAATGGCCAAGGTGATTAATTATAACAAATCTCTCTAGCTGGTTTAACATTAACATATTATGTGCCTGCTCTGATTTGTCGTTCATTTGTAGGATGGTCATAAGGAGCAGCCATCTACAGTAACAAATGCATCAAAAAGCCCACCACCACCTCTTACACCTCTTCCTTCTGATGAAGTACGCAGTTGTACATGTTATGTTGTTTGATTGTGAATTAACTGTGCTAATAAAATGTCGTTTGACTTTGAAATTTAACAAAATCACATGTCCGATTTTAGGAAGAAAACATTGCCCTCCCAAAGGCAATCAGGACGGAATTTCTTTATAACTAGTTTACGACCAAGTTAATGAATATATTTGGTCACTGCAAACAAGTTTTTTATTATTTTCATCACGGAAAATGGCATTGATGCATGTTTTCTTTCTATATGGCAGGCTAGCACAAAGTTCTGGGACTTGTTTGCCTTCAGTGGGCCAGCCCCGGAGAGGATCAACGGCAGGCTTGCAATGGTGGGGTTTGTCTCAGCTCTGGCAGTGGAACTATACAATGGCCAAGATGTGTTTGCTCAGTTATCCAACGGTGGAGTCTCGTTGTTCGTTGCCACTAGTATTTTGCTCTCTGTGGCATCCTTGGTTCCTCTGTTTAAAGGGGTGAGCGTGGAGTCGAAATCAGATGGGATCATGACCTCTGATGCTGAGCTGTTGAATGGAAGGCTGGCCATGTTAGGTCTGGTAGCTTTGGTCTTCACTGAGTATGTCAAGGGAGGGACTCTAGTCTAGGTCTCAATGATTTCCGGTGTTTTTTTTTAAGCTTAATGCCTTGTAAAAAGTCTTTCACACATGTTTTTTTTTTGGGGGGGCTTAATATGCCTTGTAAAAGTCTTTCACATGTATACTTATTTAGTGTTTACAAAATGCTTATAAGAATTTCACATTCTAATACTTCAGAATCTAATTTAACTCTTAATTTATCAGCATAAATATTTGTCAATGTCAAGTACCAAACAATGTTGATGCCACCACATCAATAATAAGAAGAAAAACATGTTTTGCCAGATGACTAGGTTAAATTTAAAGTAGAGGGATCCCCCATGTGAGTTTGGTTACTCCAAACCTAACCTAATATGCACACGTAGAAATGAATGATATCCACATACACAGAGACAGCAAGGGGCATGCAAAGAGTACTGGTGTGCTATGGACCTAATTATAACTATCTCCCAAGTCAGAATGTAGAATTGTAGAGAATTTGAGTCATCCTTTGTGAGTTTGGTTACTCCAAACTTAACCTAATGTGCACACATAGAAATGAATGATATCCACATACATAGAGACACCAAAGGGCATGCAACCTAATTATAACTATCTCCCAAGTCAGAGTACGTAGAATTGTAGATAATTTGAGTCATTTGGCAGTTTTAGTACATCGAAAAGGAAAATGGATCTATTTATCATAAAATAGCTAAGGACAATAGCATCACTCAAGAAAAATTTTCCATTTAGGAAATGCCATACTAGCTTCGGCCCATCATAATCGGTGAAAATAAGAACACCTAAAAAATATGAAACGGCCGGTGTGGCATCTATCATTTAATAAATTTTGGTCTCAACCGCTTGTTACATTGTAAAAAGGGTTAATTACATTTTTGGTCACTGGAATTTGACTCGAAATCAAATTTGGTCACAGTAATTTTAATTTTCCGGATGCCGTCACTGTATTAGCATTAGTTAGCAAATCCAATCGAATCTCTCAATTCTGTCAGTTTGCTTAATTAAAAAATGTAATTAACCCTTGTAAAATTATGTCAATTTCTTCTCCTCCGAAATTATTCTTATAAATAATACCATCATACGGGGCATATATATGTAGGCATTTGTCCAAATATATAGGAATGATTAAGGGTTCATTGGTTGATTCCAAATCTTGGGATTCAGATGATTCCAATCCTAGCATTTTTTCCTAGCCATAAATATAACAAATTCCATCTTGTCTTTACTAAAAAATAAAAATAAAAATAACTAAGATCATTCCATCTTCTGCTTATTTATCAAACGTTGGATGTTTCAAAGAATTATTATATTGTTAAAATACAGATTCAATAGTTGCGTATAGCATAATTTCTTGTCAAAAAACAAACGGATATTGTTGGGGGTAGTATGGGTACTAAAAAATCACATAGATTTTTTCTGAATGAATGGTTGAATTTTAGGGTTAATATATAATTTTCTATTAGTAATAATATACACATAAGAGAGATGCAGAAACAGAAGAATATACACGTAACGTAAGAGTCCTTGTGTTGTGCATTACAAAGATGGAAAAAGTGAATACCTTGAACAAAATGGACCTCAAGAAATCACTGACTGGAACGTTGTAGTGTGTTTGGGGAGCCACGTCCCTCGTACCACCACGTGGCACGTATGATGTATGGACAACACAACAAAAAATGTATGTAACCATCTATTGTTTTTCTTTCTCATGAAAATATAGCCAAAAAGATCCATTGACAGGGAAGGGGAATTTTGTCTACTAGTACTAAAATACTCGTGGCCCCGTGAGGTATCGGTCCTCCTGCTCAAATGATTTATTTTTTATTTTGAATAAAAGGTGTAGAGCCTTGACAAATTGACATGACCACACCGACTAGCAACATGCGGTAAATCCTGCAGCTACGTTATGCATCGAAAAAAACTTATTTGTAATGGTGTATATTTTTTTGAGCATGTCGACTCTTCTCATAGCTCCGTGAGTTATTGAAGAAGATGAGAGATAGACAGAAAGGAAGGACTATTGCTTAACTATTTTCCATTTGTGGACAAAACAATCCACGCGGCCCATCATTTGTGGGAAAGCAAATAAGTGTCGTGGTGCCAAACTATACACCGCTCAAATCAAAGAACTTCCCCCACTAACTAGGGCCATTGCACTAGTATAAAAAGCCACTCAAGGCATACAAATTTATAATACACAAGATCAATAAACAAGCAAAGCCTTCAAATCTATTCTCTCTGTTTTATTAGTGTTTAATTGAGAAGCATATACACAAATACAATGGCTGCATCATCTTCCATGCAATCAATATTTCTAGCTAGCTCAGTTGCTTATGGAGCGGGAAAGAACAAATCTGTTGGAGCGAGCCACCTTGTTGCACCAACTCTGTATAGCTACCCTCACATGATGAGGGTAAGCTCGATGGCCAAGGTATATATATTCATAAGTCTCTAGCTATAATTCATGTGTATTCATGATATTAATTCAACTTTGTCTAATTCATCTCCCATTTGTAGGATGGTCAGAAGAAGCAACCATCTACAGTAACAAATGCATCAAAAGTTCCTCCACCTTCTCCTTCTTCTTCTCCTCCCAAGGTAGTTTTACTGATCTACATGTGTGTGTGTATTCACAATATATAATTTAACTACACTAACGAAGTTCAATATATATGGCAGGTTAGCACAAAGTTCTCGGAGTTGTTTGCCTTCAGTGGGCCAGCCCCAGAGAGAATCAACGGCAGGCTTGCAATGGTGGGGTTTGTCTCAGCTCTGGCAGTGGAACTATACAATGGCCAAGATGTGTTTGCTCAGTTATCCAACGGTGGAGTCTCGTTGTTCGTTGCCACTAGTATTTTGCTCTCTGTGGCATCCTTGGTTCCTCTGTTTAAAGGGGTGAGCGTGGAGTCGAAATCAGATGGGATCATGACCTCTGATGCTGAGCTGTTGAATGGAAGGCTGGCCATGTTAGGTCTGGTAGCTTTGGTCTTCACTGAGTATGTCAAGGGAGGGACTCTAGTTTAGGTCTCAATCATTTCTGGTTTTTTTTTTTGGGCTTAATATGCCTTGTAAAAGTCTTTCACATGTATACTTATTTTAGTGTTTACAAATGCTTATAAGAATTTCATCACATTTTGATACTATATTATCCAATTTACTTCTCTTGATGTCACTATGCCATCAAGTGGCACTATATTATCAAAAAATTGAGGTTGAAGGAGACACACTCAATCTCTCAAACAGATTTCAAACTTGATCAACTTGGTCTCAAGTTTCTCAACAACCTTCTTGCTTTCACTCCATTGGCAAAACTAGCAACAAGGCTACCATGGGCTCAAGGCTAGGTAGTCTTAAAAAAATCAAAATATACTATATGTATTTTAATATCATTCACTCTATAAAAGCTTAGTAGTTCATTCAAATATAGCCTAGTAACCCATTATCCACTCAACTTTGTAGGCCTATAATCATTTGATATATATTTAATTTGTTTGCTCAGTTAAGAAACATAATCTCTTAATAAACACTCATGACTTTAACGGTCATCATATCACTCTTTACAATTAACTAGCATGGTTTATATGATTTAATGTATACTTTTATTTCCAAAGAAATTATAGAAACTATAAGTACAAAAAAAGAGCATTAGATTTTAAGCTAATAACTTTAGCTAGCCCACTCATTGAAAAATTCCTGGTTCCGCCCTTATTTCACTCTTTAATTTCCAGTTGACAACTCTTGAGAAATCTCTTGTTTATTTGCTACACCTTATTCCTTGGTTGGTATGATTTCTTGTTGAAAATATCCCTAACTATGATTGTTTATTATTTTCGGTCTTAATACTATTTCCATTGGGCTTTCTAGTACCAATAGTGGCACGCCTAAAACTAAATTTGTACAATATAGAATTGATCCCAATTTAGGATGAACAGAGACATTGTGTATAAACGAATAGTTTCGTTTTGAAATGCAAAATTTGAGTATGTTACCTTGTGAATTGGAAATGGTCTAAAAAAAGAATACTACGAATACCCGCCAATATGTATGTGGGTAAGTTATTGTAGAAATTGGTCATGCCCCACCAACCTTAGCATTTTCCTCAGCAGAAATATACAAAGTTCTTCTTGTGTTTACCGAAAGAAATATATATATCTCATTCCATCTTCTGCTTAATAAAAATTTCATCACATTTTGATACTTCAGAATCTAATATACTCTTAATTTATCAGCACTAAGATATGTTTACCATGGTTACTGATTATTCCAACAACAAAACAATAGTCACAGACAATAAGCTTTCCATTTATGTATTTTCATATGTTTACTTAAACATAAGGAATTATTTAATACACGGGTCTTATTGAAAAATACTTAATCAAATATCCTCATAAATAAGTATCGAATCAACTATCCTCTCCTAGTTGATCTGATTCATATTCCTTTTATCCTATTTCATTTCTTCTCAAACACATTGTTGAAGTCCTTAACAAACTAGACATAGAAAAGAATCAATCGAAGCTAATTCCCCACTTGTAGCACAATAGCTTGAAGAGAAATTAAGATTTCTTAAGTCGCAAGACATTTACATTATTTTCGGTTTGAATCAAACTATTTCTATTGGGCTTTCTAGTACCAATAGTGGCACGCCTAAAACTAAATTTGTACAATATAGAATTGATCCCAATTTAGGATGAACAGAGACATTGTGTATAAACGAATAGTTTCGTTTTGAAATGCAAAATTTGAGTATGTTACCTTGTGAATTGGAAATGGTCTAAAAAAAGAATACTACGAATACCCGCCAATATGTATGTGGGTAAGTTATTGTAGAAATTGGTCATGCCCCACCAACCTTAGCATTTTCCTCAGCAGAAATATACAAAGTTCTTCTTGTGTTTACCGAAAGAAATATATATATCTCATTCCATCTTCTGCTTATTTATCAAATGTGTACGCTTTGCAGCAATTATTTTATGAGTGAGCTAGCTAAAAATTTTAGCTTAAAATGTAATAATTTTTTTAATTAAACAACTTACAGTTTCTGTAGTTTTTAATAAATAAAAGTATAATAATTTTTTAATGGGTGGGTTAGTTAAGCCTAAGATTCCTTCTGTGTTGCATGCAATGCAATGCAACACTGAAACGATAAAAGAATCAAAGCGACAAACTTAGAACAATGGGACCTCAAAAGAACTGAGTCACTGACTGGTACGTTGTGGTGTGTGCGGGGAGCCACGTCCCTCATCATTACCATGGACAAAGACTACGATAAATACCCACAAAGCTCTCCTCCTAGCTACCTATCAAACAAATGCAAGGTCGACGACAACAAAATAATATTTTCTTTTTATTTTGTCGACATAAAAAAAAATTCTTTCTGACGAAAATGAAGCAAATGATCCGTTGTGCAGTGCAATTGTCCTCTAGCTGAAAGCTTGAAAGTACTCGTGGCCCCGTTGAACATCGCTCCTCCTACCCAAAAGATCAAAAAAAGTGTTCAACACCTTCAACAAATTAAATGTGAACTCAAAATACAACCACGTCTCTCTTTTAGGTCGAGAGAAACTTCATGTAACGAGTTGTATATTCCTTAGAGTCTATCAATTCTCCCAACATTATTAGTCCTCCTGGCACTCATAGAGCAAACAAGTCTCTCTAGCTTTGTCTCTAACATTATACTAATTATGTGTTTCTCTTTTGATTTATATTTGCATCTTCAGCTATATATAGTGCTTATAAGTTATAAATTAATGATTCTAATTAAACTATATGTCTGATTGATCTCCTCATTTTTAGGATGGTAACAAGGAGCAACCATCTACAGTAACAAATGCATAAAAAAATCCACCACCATCTAATACCCCTTTTCCTTCAAAGGTAGTTGTCTAACATATGATGTTCGAGAATTATTTTATCGTTAAATTGTCTCATATGTTATGTTGTTTGACTGTTAATTTAATTAAGAGATTTTCTATTTAAACCCCGCACTTCTCTTTGTTCACCCCAATACTTAAATCATTAAGCTGTAAGTTTTATTATTGTGTAAAAAGACAAAAAAGGTCATCCAACTTAATAATTAACTCTAGTATATCTATACACACACCCCAACTTCTTGTTTACAAACTCACTCTCTCTCTCTCTCTCTCTCAACAATACCTAAGGGTTTGGGGTTCCATATGTTTGTGTTTTTTTTTCTGCTGGGAACAAAGAAAATTGTGGGGTTTAAATAGAAAATCTCTTTTATTTCTCATTTTTTTCAGTTTGGAGTGTATTTAAGGGTAGTTTGGGAAGATAGTGGGGTTTTCTTAGAAATTATGAAAATTTAAATTAAAAAATGGACTTACAGTTTCTGTAGTTTTTAATAAATAAAAGTATAATAATTTTTTAATGGGTGGGTTAGTTAAGCCTAAGATTCCTTCTGTGTTGCATGCAATGCAATGCAACACTGAAACGATAAAAGAATCAAAGCGACAAACTTAGAACAATGGGACCTCAAAAGAACTGAGTCACTGACTGGTACGTTGTGGTGTGTGCGGGGAGCCACGTCCCTCATCATTACCATGGACAAAGACTACGATAAATACCCACAAAGCTCTCCTCCTAGCTACCTATCAAACAAATGCAAGGTCGACGACAACAAAATAATATTTTCTTTTTATTTTGTCGACATCAAAAAAAAATTCTTTCTGACGAAAATGAAGCAAATGATCCGTTGTGCAGTGCAATTGTCCCTCTAGCTGAAAGCTTGAAAGTACTCGTGGCCCCGTTGAACATCGCTCCTCCTACCCAAAAGATCAAAAAAAGTGTTCAACACCTTCAACAAATTAAATGTGAACTCAAAATACAACCACGTCTCTCTTTTAGGTCGAGAGAAACTTCATGTAACGAGTTGTATATTCTTTAGAGTCTATCGATTCTCCCAACATTATTAATCCTCCTGTCACTCATAGAGCAAACAAGTCTCTCTAGCCTTGTCTCTAACATTATACTAATTATGTGTTTGTCTTTTGATTTATATTTGCATCTTCAGCTATAGTGCTTATAAGTTATAAATTAATGATTCTAATTAAACTATATGTCTGATTTATCTCCTCATTTTTAGGATGTTAAGAAGGAGCAACCATCTACAGTAACAAATGCATCAAAAAATCCACCACCATCTAATACACCTTTTCCTTCAAAGGTAGTTGTCTAACATCTGATGTTCGAGAATTATTTTATCGTTAAATTGTCTCATATGTTATGTTGTTTGACTGTTAATTTAATTAACCTGTTAATAAATGAAAGAAAAAAAATTGAACTGTTATTTTCTTCGTGGAAAATGTTACTGAAGAAGAGCAAGAGGTGACATATATTTCTTTCTTACGGCAGGTCAGCACAAAATTTTCGGACTTGCTTGCATTCAGTGGGCCAGCCCCGGAGAGAATCAACGGCAGGCTTGCAATGGTGGGGTTCGTTTCAGCCCTCGCAGTGGAGCTATTCAAGGGACAGGATGTGTTTGCCCAGATATCCGACGGTGGAGTCTTTTTGTTCGTTGGCACTAGTATTTTGCTGTCAGTGGCATCTTTGATTCCTTTCTTTAAAGGCGTGAGCGTGGAGTCCAAATCAGATGGGATAATGACGTCAGATGCTGAGTTGTTGAATGGAAGGTTGGCCATGTTAGGTCTGGTAGCGTTGGCCTTCACCGAATATGTGACGGGAGGGACTCTAGTTTAGGTCTCAATCATTTCTGGCCTTTTGAAAGTCTTCCACATGTATACTTATTTAGTGCTTACAAAAGTTTATAAGAATTTCATCACATTTTGATACTTAGAGCAAGTCCACCCATAAAGGCTAGGGCAAGGGCAAGGTAAGGCAAGGGCTGCCACTATTCATGTGAATAGTGGCAGCCTTGCCTTAGTTGGTTCCACCCATGAAGGCTAGGGCAAGGGCAAGAAAAAAAAAAGATTATGCAACAAAATATAAACAATTTAGAAAGTGAATAAAATTGTTATGTATTTATAGGGAAAACATCCATGATTTGTTGGTATTTTTTATAATAAAAAAATTGAATTTTTTTGGATTTTTTTGAATTTTTTTTGAATTTTTTTTGCTCACTGATGTCAGTTTGCTCACTGATGTCAGCGTGACATCAGCGCTGGCGTCAGCGCCTTCGGGCTGCAGCCCAGGCAAGATCTGCCCGTGGGCTTGCCCAGGTTGGTGGAACCCACCACTTGCCCGGGCTTGAGGCTGCGCGCTGGAGGCCTGTTTGGCTTGACTGGGCTGCCTTTTGCCCGGTTTTGTGCTCCCGCTGGACTTGGCCTTATAAGATCCCAAATTTTAGACAAATAAAATGTTTCTCATCTTAAGGATATTTCTGGTATTTTGGTAGCGATTTCACCTTTTATATGCTTGGAGCCCACCATCTTTGCATTATCTCTCCTCCTTTTCAACATGTGGGGCCCATCAAATGAGAATGTAAAATCATATGTAAATGTCATTTTTTTAACACATTTTTGGGTCAAATGCTATATTTGCATTCATTTACACCCCGTCATAGGAGCAACATCCGGCAACTCTGGCTGTAAATGTCCTTTACATCTTCCTTTACACCCTTACAATGGAGATGCTCTAAGGAAGATGTAAATCCAAATATGTATATTAGCAAAATGGGTGTAAAAAATTATGTAAATTAGTATCTTTTTATGCATCTCCGGTGGCCAATGTAAATATACAGGCCATTCTCCCATTGCAACAAATTTCAGTGGGCATAGGTGTAAATTTAGCATACATCCACCTTTACACACTACCATTGTGATGCTCTAAGCCCGTTTGGTTCAAGGTTTAGGAGCTTAGGAATGAGTTTCAAATTGAATGCTCATGTTTAGTAAGTGCACTCTTGGGAATGCAATTATGGACTCATGGGTATAGACTTCCCATGTAGGAGGGAATTTCATACCCTTGACTCACCTTGGGAAACTTTTTTCCCTCACTTGAAAAACATTTAATGCAGTTTTTTTGAATTAACTTACCCATGATTTTATTGTCAAATACCACCTTTGACCCTTCAAAAACTCTTCATATTAATAACTTTAATGATAAACAACTTTTCATCAATCCTAATATTGTACTAACCAAATAAGGTAATGAGAGAAAATGACATTTCATAGTCCTTATTTCCTAACGTTCTCAAACATGGGAATGAACATCCTCAATTTCTCTCTCATGAGATTAGACATGAGAAGTTTATTCCCGTGAAGTACAATCTGCGAACCAAACGAGCCCAAGTATCTAATACCCAGATTCTTTCTTGGTTGATAAGTATTTGAATTTTAAATTAATACCTCGCAATTTAAGGATACATCCGCAACTGCATTTAGTGGTCCATAAATTAGTATCCAAAACAGAGGTAGTGTCAACTCGTACAGCAAGAATACAGTGTGAAATAATGAATTGCAGCTAACCCAATGCATTATGCATGCAATTGTACCTGGCTACATTACGCTGAAAAGATATTAAAAGGAAAGAAAAAAAAAGTGAAAACCTTCAATAAATATGGGACCTCAGAATCACCAACTGGAAAATTGTGGTGTGTTTGGGGAGCCACGTCTTCATACCCACATGTAAGGACAAGACGACCGTACATAAATGCCAACAAAGCTCAAGATCTCATCTCCTAGCTAAAGCCTAAGCTATCAAACAAATGCAATTATGCAATTGACTGTGAGGAGAGTGAGCAAGTAATCATCTAGTTTTATTTTTTCCTTCTATCTTTCTGACGAAAATGAACCAAAAGATATTCGTCTTCTAGTCTCAGTGCAATTGTATCTGAAAAACCTCAATTTCAAAGGCACTCGTGGACCCGTGAGGCATCGGTCTCTCTCTTTTGCTTAAAAGAAAAAAGAAGTGGTGTGGCCTCAGAAATCACTGACTCGTACGTTGTGGTGTGTGCCGCAGCCACGTCTCTCAAACACACCATGTGTGGACAAGACAACCCACGTGGCAGAGTATCACTGAGAAAGCAAAAATGAGCGACGTGGTGCCAAAATATCCACGTCCATGTGCTTCCCACTCTTTGGGCCTTTGCACTATAAAACCCTAACTCTTTGGCAACCTAAGATCAAGAACCAAAAACATCTTCAAAGCATTTTCTGCCTTCTTGATATCACTTTTTGAGCTTAAGAAATATTAAACAATACAAACAATGGCTGCCTCAGCTTCCATGCAATCACTTCTAGCTAACTCAATGGCTTATGGAGCTGGAAAGAGCAAATCTCTGAGGGTGAACCACCTTCTTCCTGCTAAGTATGCTCCAACTCTGCATAGGTACCCTAACATGAGGGTGCGATCCATGGCCGAGGTAATTAATTAATCTTCTTTCGTTTCTGTTTTTTTTTATAAAACGAAATTCTAAACTATTCTAATGTACGGAGAGGAGTTCAAAAGGACTTACGCACTGCCATTAGCTTGGTCATTTAGTTTTTGCACATTCTTAAATTAGCGATCTTAATTAACCATGTTTAATTAATGATTTGCAGAATGGTCAGGAAGAGCAACCATCTACAGCACCAGAGGCATCTAAAATTCCTCCACCACCTCCACCACCTACTCCCTCTCCTAAACGTAGTCCTAAGATTAGCACTAAGTTTTCAGACGTGTTTGCGTTCAGTGGGCCAGCCCCAGAGAGGATCAACGGTAGGCTTGCAATGGTGGGGTTTGTTTCAGCTCTGGCAGTGGAGCTAGCCAAGGGTCAGGATCTGTTTGCTCAGATATCCGACGGTGGAGTCTCGTTGTTCCTTGGCACCAGTATTTTGCTGTCAGTGGCATCTTTGATACCTCTGTTTAAAGGGGTGAGCGTGGAGTCCAAATCAGATGGGATCATGACTTCCGATGCTGAGCTTTGGAATGGAAGGCTGGCCATGTTAGGTTTGGTAGCTTTGGCCTTCACTGAGTATGTGAAAGGAGGGACCCTTGTGTAGGTCTTTGATTTGCTAGCTTAATGTATTTAGAGTTTACAAAATTTATATAACAATGCCACATTTTCATTATAGACTCTAGTATAATCTTAGCTTCCATTGGGTCCTACTTTTCTAGTAAGCACTTTTGCTCGGACGTTGAATTTTTGTAAAGATTCAAGTGCTTGCTGAAAAAGCAATTAGAGATGTTTGGTGGAAAAGCATTCGGAAGTGCTTTTAGCTTTTACTAAACGCAATTAGAAGCGTTTTCAATTGTCTAAAATCACATTTGGATTTCTTCCAAAGGCACTCCAAACCAGCTTTTAATATACCATTAAGCATGAGGATCAAATACCCTATGTGCAGAAAAACTTATATGAATCCGAGATATCATTGTTTTTCCATTCCTAACTAATCACAGATTGTAATGTGAAAAAGTTATCACGCGTGACATATCATGATTGGTAAGGGATAAGAAAATAGTGTTATTCCCGTTTTATGTAAGTGTTTCTCCTAATGACGACGCTACTTTATGAAAATTAATTTTGGCAGATGTATGTCTTCATCAAACCCAACGAAAGATCGCAGCAAATGAAAACGTGCACGGTGCTTCAGCTTGAAAGAGGTCAGTAACTTATGCCCACCGTTGATCAATGTGGCACGCACATTCGATCAGTGGTTATGGTTTGAGAGATCGGCTATCCCCTATGCAAGTGAGCGATTGACGTTAACAAAAGTCACTATGAAAACTACAATCGTCAATCGTGTGAACAACGCCTTTGTTAAAAACGTAACCCAATATTCTAATTCCTTCACAAGTTCGGAGAGATCAATGGACAAATTAGGACAGATTAAAGGTAACAAGTTACTGCCGACAAGCTCTAAGAAAAGTGGAAAAAAGTCTTGATTTGCATATCAATAGTCTAAAATTCGAATCTCATGACATCTTGGTAGTGTGAGAAATCCCTCCCCTTATAGTTTATAATATCGTTTGTATTATTTAAAAAAGAAAAAAGAAAAAAAAGGCGTAACAAATTACTCACTTAAAGAGTAATGGAAAAGCAGCTCCTCTTAAAAGCCCAATTATCCATGAAATCATAATTGTGCAAAATGCCCCCAGTCGCATTAACAAGAGACAAAAGCTGAAAATTTTATGGAGATGGAAGATGGAAATGAGCATCTTCTCTTATTCATTAATCATTACAGCGGGGATTTTAGATTACATCTTGGTAAAAAGGCCTCTATTATGGCAAACATATAAACAGAAAAGAATGAGAAGAATACATTTTCTACTATTTCACGTATTTACATATCCACCAAGAAACCTCAGCATATCTTGTGCCATCAGTCTATATCACATCTATGGCTCAACAAACACTGCATGCTTGGTCGACTCTCCGTTTACATGACCGTTGGACGATACTTCATAATCACTCTGTTTCTGCAGAAAAAAAAAAGAAGTCAATAATTGTCACTATAATGAAAATCAAACTCAATGTTAAGAATTTCCCCATACTATGTGATCCCCTTTAGAAGAACTGTATATAACACATGCAGGTATGATTTTAGGTACATACTTCGGAAGGAGGATCAACTGGAAACAAATTTATGGCATCAGGATTGAAACTGAGTCCACTGAAAAGAGAAATGTGAACGAAAGCAGATATCAGTTAAACTAACATAAAATGATGACCCAAAAGAAAAGACCTAATAGGTTATGTATTCAACCCCTTCCTACAAATGCATTAAAATGAGAACATTGTTTCTTTTTATTGATTTTGTCTCTCTATTCTACAAAGAGAGAAGATAGATTACCAGCGGGATAGAACTAGCTGCCACAGGTATGGAATAAAGAACTCCTCTGGATGACTCTCTTGTTCATATGTGAACCGCAACTGTGTGAACATCTGACAAAACAAGATTTTCAAGATATTATGAACAACAATCTCCAGGTGCATTTAGGCCAACCTACAATGCAAATTCCTTTTTACCTTCATCCCTTCACCCCGCCATGATCTGCAATTAATGATTATGACTTGAAGTACTTTCTCTACTGACCATTCACCATCCGTATTGTGGGCATCCATGCGACTATTGAAAAAATCTAATACCTACAAAGCCAAACAAACAATATAATTCAAAAAACAGGTGCCAATTGACATAAAAACAGGATAAGTTAAAAGTTCCGTAATGAAAACCAGAAAAAAAACAAACAAACAAAATCCCAGTCCTGAACGTACAGTATAAATGTTTTCAAGCAACTCATTGAAGCGTGGATGATTCCTGAAAGGCTGAAAGACCTCCTGCCGGTGCATTATTGCATATATAACCTGCCCATTGCATACGGTAAGGAACACGGAAAACATTGTCTGGTAATAGCATAAAGGAAATAAATTTGTTCTATCAAACATGGACCTCTTCGAATGTATATTATAATACCTCAGGATTCCGTGGCAGGGCATAAGTCAAAATTGCATTTAATATTTCAAGGACAAGTCTCAAGAAGTCAGTATATATATGCATCTCTGTTGACTGCAATGGAAAAAATATTCCAGCTTAGCGGACAAGAAAGTGAGAAAGGGTGACATTCATCTAACAGAACAATTCTAAGCTCCATAATATATAAAGGTATGGTTTCATTACTGTATCATCTGCAAGACCATTTCCTTCTATTGAGTTGCCTTTGACTAATCGCATCTGATTATCTCGCATCTCTGCTAGTTTGTTATACCTAAATCAAATATTACACCAAGAGCAAAATTTTAATGAACTCAAGCCAGAAGTGTATTAAAGCCAGAATAAGATTATAAATTACAGAGCAAATAGAAATGTAAAGCTCATGAGAACACCATAAGATTTGAAAGGACATACTTTCGAGAGAGCATATCAAAAAGGCTGACCAATCTCTGGGATGCATATGCACTCAAACGGTGGACATGGGGTGCCATGTTCGCCAAAGTTGCTAGACAAGTTGTATGGAGATAAACATCCTATTACAATTCAACAAACCAGACATGATAATTAGGAAAGTTCACAAAATCTAAAAATAAGAAGAGGGAAAATATATTAAGTGGTGAAAGCTTAATCTCAAGGTCTTAGATGCAGTTGACATAAATATCAAGTATACAAGCAATATGACAACAACACTCATAAAGTAAATACAAGAAAGTTCAAAGTCAAAAGGGACAGAAGGATACCCGCAACTTAGATAGGTTATACTGCACTGTCCTTATCAGAGTAATGACCATTAAGGAACCAAGAGATGTCTGATGGAGGAGACGTTCTTTATACCAGGGAACACTAGGAACTATCTGTCATATGATAAATACGTCAATAAGAGCCTAATGTATACAAATCTTGTGTTGGCTACCGGAGGAAATCCTTACCAATTTGTGAATGCTGGCATTAAAAGAAGAATCCTGACTAAGTATGAGGAGAATAATCAGCAACATGTAGATTTGATTAGAGGACCTCTTTGGAGCATTGTATAACGCTTCCAGAATAGGCATCAACTGTCCATTTCATAAACAGATGAGCATCAAGTTTTCATATCAATGTAGAAGCAAACTTAATGATGACAGTAATTACAAACAGAAACGACTCTCATCCAAAATAACAAGTAACAAAAATGACCATTGACCAACAACCAGAAAAACAATATGTATCTTAATGAATCCTTTGCCATGAAAAATATAGTTTTTTCCTTTTCTCTTTTTTCAATAACAAGATAAGCTGCTGGTCCATACCAATGTATCCAAATCAGTTCGCACCAAGACATACTCCAGAAAGTCAGCATTCCCTTGCAACAAAGAGTAAAGCAAAAGAGCAGCAGCCTCATCAGCCAAGTACCTGCCAAAGCAGAAACGGTTATGAGATACTCAAAAACAAAAGGGAGGAACCAACTTGAAAGAGTGAGCAAAGTTAAGAGAAACAAGGATATCCATGCTTTCGGTTTGAATTAGGGATCATAGATTTTGTTTTGTCTTCTGTTGAATTAAGGATTAGAGGTTGAAGAAGAATAAAGTATCACACCCATGAAAATCATAATTAAACCGTAAAGGCATTCGAAACTTGCACCTTTTAACGACCTATTGATAAATTCTTATACATAGCTTATAAAACACTGATAAAAACAACACAACGTAAGAATCGAAGATATGGAAGTTATACACGTCAATATCAACGTGGAACTAATTAGTCAATTATATACAAATTACAACAACAACAAAAATTGCATTTTATTGTGGAAAAAAAAACACACACCACCAAAAAAAACTCTGTATCCCTCTCCCACACCACAAAAATAAAATACTTATCCTAATTAGATTTTTCTGTTGTATGACACGTAATTGTCTATCATCTAATCTTCTATATACAAATTACAAACAAGTAAATCTTATTTCAGAAAGCCTACATCCCATTCAACCATAGATGGACTAAGATGCATACAAAGAATTAGCCTATAATATGATAAAATAGTACATCTGATTTAAAAATACAAGAATAAAAGGAAAACCAACACTCACATTCCAAGGGCATCAAACAGAGAAGCAAAAGGTATCCTCAAAACTGGACCAGCATGCGCATTACCCTCAGTATCTACACGATCAACTGCAAGCAGGGAAAATATCCACTCAAGTTATGTGAATATACTTTCATAATAAGATTAGGTAGAGATACAAACAATAAAGCATCTTACATTCAACATCCGTTGCACGTTCTAAGGCCTTGCAGTAAGGGTTATCAGAAAAATGCGTACTCCCTTTTAAAAGAGAATCTGAAGCGGTGGTGTCATTACTTTTATCTGTAATTGGTTCATTGCCCACAACACATTTACGATAATGACTGAGAATAAGTAACACATGGAGACTGCAGTCTGCTAACAGACTTCTTGAGCCTTCACCACTTGAACTGACCAGAAAGTTGAATGGCAATAACATGAGATTTGCTGCAATTCAAATAATTGATGTCAACAGCTACTCGGTCAAAAGTTTTAAGTTTTAATATTGCCCAACCGATATAAAATCTTAGATTGGTAAACAATTTAAGTTGCAATAGTGCATCAAGGAAACCACCATACCAGCTGCGGAACTAACTCTTTGTAAAACACCAGGCTGACTTCCTTCAGAATATATAGAATAAGATGCACTATTCAAGGATATTGAAGGTCCCGTAATGTAACTG